GCACCCCTTCTGTGCCCCCCTGCATTCCCTAAGTTGTTTTGCAGCGCCCTGTACCCCGCCCTGCATCTCCTCCTGAATCCCTCCTAAAGCCTCTCCTTCATTCCCCGGCATCCTCCCTGCATCCCTCTGCACACCCCCGTATCCTCCCTAAATCCTCCCCGCATTCCTCCACCCCCTGCATGGCTTTACATACTCTCCGCACAGCCGATCTGCACCCCATCTCACACTTCCTTCTGCATCCCTGTATCCCGTCCCTTCATCGCCGCACCCCTTCTGCATCCCTGTATCCCAGCCTTACATCCCTGCATCGCAGCTCTTCATCCTCGCACCCCTTCTGCATTCCTGCATCCCTGCACCTGAGACCTGCATCCCAGCCCTGCATCCCTGCACACCATCCTTGCATCCCTGCACTCTTCCTGCATCCTCACGCCCCAGCCCTGCATCCTGCCCAGCAGCAGAGGAGTCTCTGTGGTCCCCTCCTGCCCTTCACTCCCTTCCCCATGAAGGGCCTGTAACCACCCTGCCCACACCCACACCCTCCACCCACCCCTGCACCCCCGGAAGGGCATTTTCCTCTCTGAGGGGATGTTCCTCTCTGAGGACATGCAGGTCAAGTCCCACAGACGCTGTTCCTGCACCCACAGCTGTCAGGTGTGTCCCCAAAGGGTGCTGGTGGGGGGGCAGCCCTGGGGATGGCAGTCCTCTGCCATGGCTGTGCCAAACTGGAGGAGAACAACCTCCCCTGAGCCTCCAGTTGAGTGGAGAGGACTTGTAGGGTCCGGGGAGGGGGAAGGAGGTGGACTAAGTGCCACTCAGAACTGGGGCTGGGAGTGGGGGCACCAGCAGGGACTGGGGTGATGGTGGTTGTGCCCTGGGCCATCGTGGCTCTCTGTGAAGGCTGAGCTGCCCTGTGCTGAGCAGGGAGCCCAGGACCCTGTTTGCTGTCACAGGTGCACGTTCCTGACGGGGCTGGCAGCCATGGCCACAGGGGGGTCACCCAGCCCCCCCGGCAACCCTCGTCACACCAACCGCCTCATTAACGAGAAGTCCCCGTACCTGCTGCAGCACGCCCACAACCCCGTGGATTGGTAAGAGCAATGGGAACCTTTCCCCCTCGTCCTCCTCCTCTCCTGGTGTCTGTGTGGCTTAGGAACTCGCTGCCATATAGAAGCCCCCCCAGGCTCAGGGTCCACCCTCCTGAGCCAGCTCTGGCTGTCCTGACTACTCTGACCAGGCAGCAGTTCTGGAGGAGCCTGGTCCTGGCAGCTGGAAACCCTGAAGTTCCTTTCTCGTCTTCCCCCCCACAGGTACCCTTGGGGTCAGGAAGCCTTTGATAAAGCGAAGAAAGAAAACAAGGTGATATTCCTGTCAGGTAACCAGAAACAAGACATATTTCGTGTCCCCGTGGGTGGTTCAGTAGATGATCAGATAAGCTGGGCTGCATCCCAAGTAGCCATGTAGGTACTGATGGACACCAAACAAGAGAAGACCACGTGCTGGAAAAGCTCTCTCCAAAAGTGGGCTCACCTGGGAGCAAGATTTGGCAAGATTTTAAGAGGAAGAGCTGGAGAGCCCAGGGGGCCTTACCCTTCCTTCTGGAGAGGCCCAAAGGAGCCCTCCTTTCCCCTCCTCTCCTTTCCCCTCCCTTTCTTCTCTAGGGGGGCAGTAGCTGTTGCCCATAACAGGGCTCCCCATCTCTGAGTGATCTCCCCATCACTCAAATGTGTCCTGCTCCCTGCAAAGGGCCATTCCTCACTCACCTGAGCTTGTTTTCAGTGGGCTACTCCACCTGCCACTGGTGCCATGTGATGGAGGAGGAGTCCTTCAAGAGCAAGGAGATTGGGGAGATCATGAACAAGCACTTTGTGTGCATCAAAGTGGATCGTGAGGAGCGGCCAGACGTGGACAGAGTGTACATGACCTTCGTGCAGGTGAGGGAGGCACGGGCAGTGCCCAGGAGGCTTTGACTGGCTCCCTCAAGTTGAGGTTCTTGGTCACCTTCCTCGGGCAAGAGGAACCAGTTTGTGGGGTGGTATGGATGGGGCCATCTTGGGGGTGGAGAGAAACACACCTCTGTCCTCGAGTGAGGCTCTTGGATGTGCTGGAGGGGCAGAGAGCAGAAGGTGCCTCTTGCGTGACCTTGGTGCGCCCGTGATGTGTCTTTCAGGCCACCAGCGGTGGAGGTGGTTGGCCCATGAGTGTCTGGCTGACCCCAGATCTGAAGCCCTTTGCTGGGGGGACGTACTTCCCTCCTGAGGATCGATTTCATCGCGTTGGTTTTCGGACCGTGCTGCTCCGGATCGC